ATGTTTTGCATTCTAACCAACGGCTTGTATGCCTTGGTTCATTATTCAAAGCATTATTTGGATTTAGTTCCATGAAGGCTAGAGAGAACAGTTACACAGAAGATGAGGGACAGAGTTCTCAGTCTACTGACCTGAAATAAAGAGGGCAGTTGCTGCAAAAATTTGACGATCAAGAGTTTTTCCTGAGGATGACAATGAGGAAAGGGGCACTAATTCAAACCTTCTCAATAGAGTTGTTAGCAGAGCTCAGGAATATTTTTGCATTGACAGGAAAAGAAGTGAGAAGACTTGATCTTTTGTTTGCTTAGTTTTTATCTCTCTAAGAAGAAATCCTGCCAGTGTTAAAATCATTCTCCCACTAATTTTAACAGTGCTCAATTTCTGAAATATATAACCTCATTACACATTGATCTCTTTTGTAGTTCTGGTATGCACGCATCAAGGAAACTGACAAAAGCTAGACCCAGCACTAGTGGCTGAAAGGAAACATGATCAAGAGTGGGAGTTAAGAATCTCACCAGCTCCCCATTTTCCTAGCCTGCTGTACTGCTGCAGAGATCAGAAAGCTCAGAGCTGAACCAGAACCATACCACATGTGGTTATCTCTGGTGTGCCTGAGGAGGCTGTATAATACAGCCATTTTCTGAAAACCTGTCATCTGTCCGTAAGATGAGGATACGTACATAAAGAACCCTAAAGATCAATCACCACAATCACCAAAGTATATTTCATGTGTTATTCTTTGATGGCCCGAACTTATATTTGACTACCTAAATTGTCCACTTTTAGCACACCTGTTCCTACTCATTTGAGAAAATTCAATACTGGTTTAGGTGCCTTTACTGACTTTGTTGACAGAGCCTCTTTTAATAGGTACTGTGGTGTGAACGGAGTCATATAATTAAGTATGAGAAACTGGGGGGAGGGAAGGGGAATCAATTACTTCCACTCCACATTTCCTCCCATTTCTTATAAATAACAAAGACACTTTCAGTTCAAAGTCTGTTAGCTCTTATTAATGCTTTCTTAATAGTGTAATAGTAAAGGGACATACACACAGGCCATGCACACTCTGTATAATAAGCAAAAAATTTCCTTACTGAAGTCCATCCAGTTTAACGTAACAATTAGGGCTGGACACCCTTAAAGCCATACTGAAAATAAATTCTCCAGAACTACCTTGGCCACCAGAGCTATGTGGAAGACTCAGACGCTTCCTGTGCATCACAGCTGTGGCTGCATTGCATCTCAGAGCTTCAGCGGCACTGCTCACATGTAGGTATATAAAATGGGACACGATCTCCTGTCTTTGGCCAAGAACAGAGACTGCAACTTAGGTTTGTGCCATGCTTCCGCACCACAAAGATGTGATCTAAAGAATTAAATTAAATTTGGAATGGTAATAAAGTCACATTCCTGGCCAATGCCAGGAAAGAACGAGTAGTTTTGTGGGCTAGGTAAAGCCCAGAGCAGCTGGTATAATAAATTTTACTACTCTGCTGTAACAATGATAAACGATTTCACTCGTTTATGCTTCACCCTATTCCAAGGTCACAAGATTCCCCTCAGCAAAAACAAGCCATGAATTGTTGCAATCATAAAGCGAACTCAGCAATGAAGTATGCTGCCACATTTTACTCTGCTCTAGCTGTGCTTGGTACCAACCATTGAGCTGTCATGCACAGTTATGTATGCAACCTGATCTGTAGCACTGCATATCACAGTGCATTGCAGACTGTGAGAAAATATCCAACAGTTAGCTACAGCCTAATGCCTATACTTAAAAACAAACAAACAAACCCAAAACCCTGAGGAATCTGAAAGATTTGTCACTACACAATGAACAGTTCTGAACGTGAGATTCCCAAAGGTCTTTCAGAATCTAAATATTAAAAAAAAAATAAAATAAAAAAATTAAGAGCCTGGTCTCATCAATCTGCCTCCCACCTCCCTTTAGATATTTGTAAACGTTAAAGAATAAAAATGAAGAGTATGTATAGCTCATCAGTAACATCAATGCTACGCTATTTCCAGTGCAAGGCTAATCACACACAATAATCAACTTGATAATGAATCACAGAATCACAAAACATCCTCAGTTACAAGGGACCCAGAATGACCATCAGGTCCAACCCCTGGCTCTGCACAGGACCACTCAAACTCAAACCCTGTGTCTGAGAGTGGTATCCAAACTCTCCAGCAGCTCATGGCCATGCCTACTGCCCTCTGGAGAAGAACCTTTCCCTAACCCCCACCTGACACTGCTCCATCCCATTCCCTGCTGGCTCAGATTAAACTTGCTGTCAAGCAGAACACCCAGATTCCTTTATGTTGAGCTGCTCTCCTGCCTCTTGTCCCCAGTCTGTACATATATTCTGGGTTGCCCGCTCTCAGGTGCCGATTTGGCACTTGGCTCTTGTTCAACTTCATGTAGCTCTCACATTTGTCAAGATCTTTCTGCAAGGACTCAACCCTTGGGGAGACAACAGCGCTTGCAGTTTAGTGCTGTCCTCAAAAACTTTCTTTTACAGATTTAGCACTTAGTCCTGTAGAGGGGAGTGTAATCTATAAGGCTTAAAGAACATCACTGACTTTTTTAATCTTGCTTTCTAAATTTCTAAAATACCAAATAAAACCATAGGAACCAAAGAGGGGTCATACATCTCCTGTTTATGCAACAAAATGTACTTAAGTGTCAACAAAACATACTTAAGTGTCTTTTTCTGGTTGGACCAGAAAAAGGGAGATGGCTGACGTTGCAGAGCATCACGTGGGTACACAGCTACTCCCCTGCAGAAACCAGGCTATTGAAATCACAGAGCATTTGCAAGAAATGGCAAAAAAACTGGAAAGAGACTGCTATGAGCTGTACTATAGCAGCGTTGATCCTGCCCTATGAGAATCTTTTCCATTTATTAGGAAGTCAGAAGATCATATTAGAGATGCAATTAATTGCTAATGAGATTTATCTTATTGACACACAAATGCATATGGCAGCCTGTTTAGTATGTACATTTTAGTTCAATTTTATTTTTGTTTTGGAGTTCACATAAGAGACTGTTTCATGAATAGGCTCATGAAAAAGTTACTCTCAGAAAAATTCCCTGCTGAAAGAATCAATTATTTGTAAAATACCATACTTAAAGCATGATATACTTCCATCTCATGTAGTTCAGGATATACTGTCTATTTCGTGATATAAGAAGGAAAAATAGAATTTGAAAGGTAGTAGCATTTCAGTACTTTCTGACTTATGTCTTTTTTTAAAAAACAACAAATCAACTCTGGAAATGATATGGAGAAATGAAAGTGCGAATAAAGTAACTGTAGCTGGACACATTAGATGAAAAAGTTTTTTCACACAATCAGATACGTCCCCCGAAAATGCAAAATTTTTCTTGACAGTCCATTTTCCAATGCCTCATCATGGCTAAGCTACAAGAGTTACACACAAATTTCTGTTACTGAATGGACACAGTTACTCTCCCGTTCTAAAGATACAGAAGAGAAGCCGACTGCATTCAGCTTTCCAAGTCAAAATATAGTCATTCCAAAAGTAATGTCTCCGTGAAAACTACAACGAATAGCACAATAACACTATTTGATACAAAAAATTCTCAGCTACAAAACACTTTTCTTCAATACAGCCACCACCATTAGCTATACATTTTCACCAGTGATAAACAAGCCTGCATGGCTGTAGCCTCACTTTCACAATGCTGTCACCGCTGCTCCCATCCACTGTTTAGTCTCCATAAACCTTCACCAAGCACTGACATATGCCAATGGGTGCAATTTTTTTTCCACATGCAGAAATTCAGTGTCATCCCTTTGCTTCATACACACTTCCATGTCAGACACCATTCTGTCAGACTGCTTCTCTGCTGCTATCTGTCACATGGCAGCAAAACGCAATGGAATATTGTTGGGAAGGTTCAACCTCCACTGCCATATTGCCAACATCTGTCTCTGACATCATGGACCAACATCATCAAACAGGAAGCATTACTTTTGAAGCCGACCTCACATTTTACATAAACTTTATAGTACCATTGAAGATTTTAGATCTTTACTATACAGCCATTTGAAATTCATCTTAGCACTCAGAACATTGGTTACTTGAGACTGGTAATCTTAAATATGATATAATGCAAATGTATCACTTTCTAGGCACCAAGATTTCGAATCACATACAGCAGAAACTGTTTCCAAACTGGTTAATTGACATGAAAACCAAGTGCTATGATCATCCCATGGTTTATCACCACAATCTTTTGATAATCAAGACACAAATGGCCTTTTAATAGGCATTTTGAAGGTAAATTACTGAAGTTACCACTCCTATATATACATCTTTGATACTACAGTGTGGGCCAAAATGCACGAATAAATTTGCTTATGTAAAATACCAACTTGATGGAGATGTGTCTTCTTTTATCCAAATGATCCTTATCTTGTTTAAAATTGATAAATATTTCAAAGACAACTCTTATCTCTTTAATAATAATTTCCTTACAATATACTCTTCATAAAAATGAGAAATTACACACAGCATAGCAGATAAAAGTGAAAATCCATAGATTAGACTTAAAATATATTAAAAATTTCTTCCCACGTCAGCATACTCTGTAGTGAAAAGACTTCTATCACTTCCATTATACTGATACAGTAGATTGTTTTTTTTTTTAAATGATAAATGGAAAATTTCTGCATGTAATGTCATGACTCTAAGATTCTCCACTGACAATGGATATAAAACTCTACTTAGTGTTAAATATGACTTCACTAAAGAACTTATTGAAACGAATGATTCAGCCAAGCTAATTTAACTCTTTCTCTGTGGAGCCCAGTAAAGTCTCACAACAGTTGGAATTTCAAACGTAACTGAAGTAGTCTTCTGATTTCCCCAAGGAACTGCATTAGTATTTGAGTTGTTCTCTATGATTTCTAAAGCAGATGGATAAATGGGTGGGTTACAGATAAGAAAAAGCCAGAAGTACCTGATCCAGTTTCCAGTGGAACTCTGCAGGGCGGAAGGTGTCAGCCTGATCAAAGTCTTTACGCAGCAGAAACACTAACCGGCAGTTGTGCACGTACAAGGCATAGTGATGTCGGTTCATCTCTGAAAGAGGGCGGAGGAAGATTAGTGAGCTGAACTATCATCAACACTTTTGTTTAGGTTAAAGTGTTTCAAAGCAATACACATCTAAAAGACAGAAAACCCAACAAATCAAAATTGTGTTTTTTCCAATATTGTGCATCATTATGGTTCTAGTGAAAGCTATATAATACCTTCCAGAACTATGCCATATTCATTTTATGGAAGCATTATGTCCAAGTTAATAAATAAGACCCAAATCAATATTCAACCTAACTACTTATAGAGCTTCACCAAATATGTTATGCCTTTCTCCTCAATAGCAAGACTCACCTGTCTTGTCAGAGTTGCAGAGAATAGTCTCCTTCTCAGCTCTTAGTCCTGGGCTAGGTCCATGTTTCATCCACAGAGAGATAGTGAATTGATCAGTTAAATTCTTTGGGACTATTCCATCTGGGATTTTGGCTCCTTGTTTTCCATCAAATTTAAAAATCATGTCATTATTATCCATGAGAAGCCCGGCTGTCCAGTTAGTTGTTGCACTGGGAGATGGTAAGAGATCAATGGCACCGGAGGATGCTCCTGCAGATGGTATATAATTAATAGCAGAATGAGAGACTAATGAAAAAGCTGTACAGATGAATTAACCATGGGTGTGGGGCCTGATTCACACATTTATATTATTTTCACATCCCAAATAGTCCTGCAAGTTTCACTATCAAATTACATACACATTATTTAGTAGCCAGCACGTTAAACCAGTAAAACCAGTAGATGAAACATACTGCACAGTGACTACAGAAAACATTACATTACTTCTCTTAGAAATTTCTCATTATTTTCTAAAATTCATTAGTGACATTTCTTCAGCTATTTCAAGAAGCGTGCTAAGACTAAAACAAAGTTTTATACCTCCAACAGGAAAGCTTCACGTCCTCTTTCCCTGTCTGCACAGAGATATGTAGTATATGCGGGTAACGTGTAGCCAAATTCAGTACAGTGGATATGAATGTAAAACAAGTGCCTTAATGTGCAACAGACACCAACGGATATTCATATTGTTGGTATGAATATCACTGCATACAGAATATTCATTGTAAAAGAAGTAGTATCACTTTAATGCTGGATTGTGTGAGGTTGTAGCTCCATGTGTTCTTGCCTAATGATAGATACAGGACTTCAGTGGTACTCAGAACTCAGATTAGCCCCTCTCCAGAATGTAAATCATTAGTCAGTGGTCCCGAGCTAAATGCATTTATTTGTTAGAATTTACTAGGGGGGGAACCCTTGAGTCTTTCACACATTGTTTTTTGTTATTGCTGGATGACAAGGTAAAAAAAACACTTCCTAAAATGCTTTGAGGCACAATACTAATAGGTCCTTGTCTTTAAATGATTTGGCTGCAATTTAATCAGTAAAACTGCCCACCTTTACTGTCAAAAGTAAGTACGCATTACTGAGTTACTGAAAGGCAGAGCTGAACAATCAGTCACATAAAGAAAAGTGAATTTTAATGCATGGTCCTCAGCACCTGAATTCTCTGCATTTCTAACTGACAAATTAAGAACTGAGCGCAGGATTTATAAACTGGATATTCAGTTACAGAGAGACAATCTTGTTTTTTATATGGCGCAAATGAATACTTGTCTCTGATTGCTCAATTCCGCACTTTCTGCAATCACACAATACTTCACTGATGGAAAAAAATGCAGGGTTTTCTTCCTTCACTAAGAATTTATTTATCCAACCATAAGACAAAATAAGATCATTTCTAGAAGAAAACTGTTTTCCATAAATAATTTATTTAACCTGCTTTCATAAGATTACCTGTTCTCTCTACAGTAAGTATGGCAACAAAAGCCAAGTATTAAAATGTAAATCTTTCCAAATGCAATTCTGATGTAAAGTTCACTTTCATTTTAACCTTTTTATCAAAGTCCTAATATAAGTTTCTACCCTCCCTATACTTCTCTATGAAGAAATGGAAACCTTGGACAAAAAAAAAAATGCTCATTCATCAGTAAGACTTTCCCCACTTCCTTTACGTATGCTTTTTAAATTCTGTTTTTTCAACTACTTTACATCCCATTCCCTCACATATATGCTAAACTACAACTGGAAGTTCAGCAGTATAGTTAGATTCTGTCAAGTAGCTCATACAATGCCTGCAGCTACTACAATGCCACTGTCAAACCTGTGGAAATATATTGACAATTCTGTCTTTAACCTCTTTAGACCTACACATGGTACAGCCAGCCATTGAATTAAAGTTTGACATTGGGGAAAACTCCAGTTTATTCACTAGAAAAAGAGAAATTCAATGTGCTAGTCCTTAAGTGTTAGCAGGTAAAGTAATGTTAATAAGGAGCTGCTCAGAGTGTTTGTGCCATTTGCAGTACACGTCTGTTACAGGCATAAAATAATGTTCTTCTCACTACCAACATTAAGTTCTTAGAGTCAGCAAAAGTACTTGACTTAAGCTATAATGTATTTATTTTTATTTAAAACACTAACATTTTATGAAATCAATTTCAGGGTCTGGTCTCATAGCTTTGTTCAACTTCTCAATTTTAACGTCATGAACGTGATGATGCATACAAATGGTAATGGGGATACAGGATTAAACTAAGCAATTTTCAGGTTGAAAATATTGTGACATTATGTGAATTCTATTACTCTCCTTCATGTTTACCTCTTTTCTCAGTCTCCACAAGTGTTTCTTAAATATTTTTCCTCAAATGATTGTCTGTAATTTCCTTCATTTTTGCTTGCTTTTGCTCTGGCACAGTACTTAGCAGCAGAGCAGAAAGCTGAGTGAGGAAGACTTAAAACACAACATAGATTCAATTATGAAATCCTATGGTCTTCATTTGATGGCCAGTTTATATGTGAAATCTCAATATACTGTCACAAAAACAGAATTAGCACCAAAGGAAAAAAAAAAAGTGAAAGATGTAGGATAAGAAAATAGGAAAAAAATAAAGAAAGGAAGAGCAGGAGATGAAGGAAAAAAAGGAGTAATGCAGGAAAAAGGCATGAAAAAAAAGTGAAAATAAATGGAAGAGAACAGGGCGCTAGTTAATCATCAGTTCCTTGATTTTTGTTGCTACAATCAAAGATGAACCAGCTGAGCTAAATGCATATATTGTGTGCTTAGAAGTCACAAGGATTTGGCACTTCTTCTGTAAAAAGATTGTTATATTGACTGACAGCCATGTTCATACCACATAGTTTCTGCAGAGATTTTTCTGAGTAGGTTTCACGATCACAGCCCTTTCCAATATAGTTGGTCTGCAATTCAATTGTTGTATGTATTGATGAAACTGGGCCATCACACGTTTCTAGATGAATACTGGGAAACAACGGTATGCTGCCAGAACCAGGCTTGTATTCAATACGTTTGTTCCAATCTGGAAAAGTACAACAACAAAAAATTCAAGAGAGATTAAAAATGAGAAAGGATTATGTAGTTTTAGATGACATACTGCTATCAAATGCCCCTGGCTAAGACAAAAATCATTTCTTTTATTAATATCCTATAAATTTGGTTTTGCCTCACCATCAGGCTCTATTAAGTATTACCACTAAATCACACAAACACAAGTTACATATTCTGACATAACTGCTAATCAACCTGGGTCTCCAATGTCCATGCTGATATGGCATTCTGCAAGCTAGCTCTACTGAGACGAGGCTGTTGGCTCCACTGAATGTAGTTAGATTTCATAGTTTAAGATAAGAAGAAATATCTCCAAGGACCTGCAATAGGCATCAGTCTTACTGGACTATGTCCAAAAGCTAATATAACATGTCTATAGTGCTACCTCTTGTCTTTTAATTTTGTTAAGTATCCATGACTGAAAGTTAGAGCTCAAAAGACTACTCGTGCATTCAGCTAGGTCTGGCTAAAGCTGTGCTCGTGCAGATGTTTCACAGCCAATGTTGAACAGTCACCTGCCTTAGACCACCTGGACATGGTACACATATCACTGTTTCTCAACTGAAGCATTTAATTTTTTAAATTCAATTAACTACAACTTGCTTCAGAGAAATCCTAAACAAGCATCATTAATTAAAAACATGAATTTTTGGCTATTTCCTGTTCATATTTCAGCCAACTGTAGGCAGCCTACTAAAGAACATAAATGACAATGCCACACTAATACAGAGATGTAAACAGTTAATTATTTTGAAGTCACAAAACTATTCAGCTCTGCTACCAGAGTGTACCATCTGTGTACCTGTAAAATTTCCCACCAGAAGTACATACATAGTTAAAGTTCCTCTATTTTTAGTTCTAGGTAAAAGAGGAGTCTATAAATGGAAAAAAAAAAAACCAAAAACTAGGTCCTGGCAATCAATGAAATCTCTTAAAGCAAATGTACAGAGACAAATCTCTATGAATTCAGTAAGTGAAAAAAGTTTGGTGCTTTTCAAGAGACGTAGTTTTCAAAAAGCTTGAAGAAGAACGCTCTATAAAATACCTCAACAAAATCCAGCACTTCAGGCAAAAACTTTGGAATGCAGAGCAATTGTTAGTCCAGAGTACAGACAAAAAAGATGAGATGCTGACAATCTGCATCTGCACTGGAACTCTCAGATTTTCTTCGTGACTTTTAATAGAAATGGTGATGACAAAGCATTTTGTTTCTATGAGGAAGCCCAGACTTCAAAGAACATTCTGTAGATATTAAAACTATTTTTATTAGAATTTTTAGGACATCCCTGACTAAAAGACAGTTATGACTACTTCACTGCCTGTGCATATATCAGCTGAGTTACTATTGTAGTACTGATTTTCAGGTAGTAATATTCCATATAAAGTTAGATTTGATCTGCAGTATTGCATACATTTCTCTTTACTGTCAATGTAAACAGTTCCCATTGAATTTCAAGAACCATAATGTATATAATGACAATAACAGATTTATCTTTCTAATCCATTTTTGAAAGTCGAAATTAACATTTTTCCAATCAAATGACAGTAGGAAATTATTTCAAATACTTAAGGTAAAAATAAAACAACTTGTTCTGAACAAGCTAATAATGTAACAATTAACATAAGAATTATTGCTTTTTCTAATCTCCTATTCACTAGTAAGGCATTATGTTCCTCACCAACAAGAAAAATAATAGTCAAATCTGTATCTCAGCAGCTTTCAGATTTCAGACAATTTCTTGTTTCTCTGTTATAACTAATTAATTGGCTCTCATGAAAAATATTCATTATTGGAAATGTAACTGAATTACTCACTGTAACTTATCTACATGCAAATGCACATGCAACTGCAGATACATGAAGAATGCTTTATATAAAATACGATAAATAAAATGCCTCAACTCATATGGAAGAATAATGGTACTCTATTACTGCTATATGGGCGTCCCTTGAATTGGAAGAGTTGTTTCATTTCCCAGTATTACCTTTCTACTTGTTAAAAATGATGACTTGTGACCAAGTCCTGAATGTTCTAAATTACCTGCATTTTTCTCAGCTCTAAATTGTAAAACATCAACTACACTTGAATTAATGTCTTTGTACTTTGGTCTCCTGCAGCATCACAGATCGATCCAAAATCCTAAGTCTCACTTGAATTACTTTCACTGATGGAAAGACACTTCAGTTTATATTTAAGAAGTCAGCCAAGACTACCCCAAACCACACACAGGGCCTTCCCAGGCAGGCACAGGGCGATACCTGAGATACCTTAAAGTTAGTAACACCTTTGCAGCTGTCTTATTTATACAGCAACTGTCCCCATGGCATTTCAGCGTCCCAGAGGCGCTGAGGCTGAGGCCAGCATCTTCTGTATCTGACTACTAGTGAAGTTAGTAACATTGAAAAGGGCACAGAGTCAGAACTAGCAAAAAGAACTGCTGGCAGTGTGAAGAGGTGTTTTGGTTTTTTTTTATGAGAAAAAAAGGATTTTTGAGAAAGACCCAAATCTTTCATTTAACATTGAATGTGGCAAAGTTGGTCATTTTACTTTCTCCCAGAACTGCATCCTCTATTGGACACATTCAAAAGACCTGCACCTTCCCCTCAGGAATGTTGTGGCAATTTTTCTGTTCCTCTACAATTGATTCAGAGGAAGAATCTTACGTAACCTAAGTCTGCAAAGACTGAATTTCAGAACTGGTATTTTGAACTTGATCTTAAAATGTGACTCATGTCCAGAGTTTTCAAACAGTCAGAAGATACAGCCCCATCTGAAACAGCAGGTTGTGCTTGATTAACAAAACTCAAACAGAATCGTTTGTCCTTTGGCACAAGCTAATGTACAGCACTACCACATTACAGTGCAAATTTAGGAAAGTAAACACTGACTTGGGGGAAGCCAATGGGAAAAAGTTGATTAAAATCAGCCCTGTTTAGCCTGGCAAAAGACAGTCTTCACTTGGATTTTTTTATTCAACAGGCCTTACAGAATTCTCTAAAGAGAAGGCAAAAATGGGTTACTCTGAAAAAGTAAGCTTGTGGAACACAGGGGATCCATCTAGTAAGGATCCTTATGAAACTACCTTGGGATTACTTGACTTCTCTGTTCCTGATCTTGATGCAAAACTGTATTAATTACTGTTGCCGATGAAGAAACTGGAAGGTAATTCTACACTGGAAGTCAATATGGGAACAGAATATACTGAGCACAGGACAAGATGACCTTCGTGACTGGTATTAAAGAAACACTGCTTTGTGGTTATGATTCAAAGTACCAGGAACTTTGGTTCATGCTCAGGAACTTCTTCAGTAAACTTGTGCATCAGTACTAAAAGAAGGAAACGTGGAAAAAGAGCTGATTCCATTGGGTTAATAGTACACCCATGAACCACTGGTCTGATATGGCCAGGCAAAAAAAGAGTAAAAGAGACAAAAAAAAACCACTTATCTGGAACATTCATGTGTATTTAGCCATAAGACATAAGCAGAATTAGCTGAGGAAGTGCAGTTCTAGCTTAAAAATGAGATTGAAACAGATCTGTCTGCTTTGTCTAAGTATGTCTGGTAAGTAAACAGAAGAACAATGCCAGAACAAGTACTGAAAATGAGTACAAACTCACATAACCTGTGAGCCCCACAGCTAGAGGTACTTAGCAATACAATTAATTTTCAAATGTCTGAAAAAGATAAGACTAGGTATTCTACTAAAGACCGTGATTCAATTTAACAGCTCAATGTGAGCATTTCATTATTATTACCCTGGTTTAATGACACATACACAGCAGCTCCAAGATTAGAGTGGCATAAAGTCATAAAGCAGTAACTTTTATTTCAAAAAATGGGCAAGTATCTTCTACAGCTAAAACAACACAAGCATTACATTTTAAACTGCCAGGTACATGCATGGAATGAGACTGGAAGTCAATTTATATTTACCGCAGAAGATATTTAGTTGTGGTGGCTTTTTTTGTTGTTGCTTTTTTCTAAGTTTTTAAAGTTGTTCCTCAGAACTAGGAATAGTTTTTCTGATTTTGTTCTGTGAGGTTTCTGTACCTGACCAACCTCTTTCATGCAAAGTCTACTATAAATAGATTCTAGGAAGCATGCGTACTCACAAATGTTCTAACATCCCTCTGCTACTAAAAGAGAAGGTCCTGCCCTTCTCTGAACAAAAGATTATATTTCAGCAGGAGAAGCAAACCGATGTGACCTTCATATGGTCTCTGAATGACTAGCTCACCTGAAAGAGATTATAGGAATGTGCCCTTTGGTGGCAGAAAAGCCATAGGTCACCACCTTAATAAGCCATACATGCCTTACAAAAGGAACACACAATATCTTTATAAAAATCTCTGACAAGAGAAGTATCAATCTATCAGGTAATTTAATGGAAGTTTCTACTTTCAAAGTACTTTTAAGTAAACACCAAACACAAAGTGAAATTGAGGATTTTTAAGGAACGTGTTACCCTGCTAAAATATATTGTGCACAAAACTCAGGTAATTGGGTACAGCTTTTGTTCTGTTGTCTTTGCTATATATTGACCTCCCCAAGATAGCCACTAGGGACTGATTGGGCTGGGCACTGGTTGGTGTAATGCAACAAATATCATGGATATAACAAAAACTGAGGAAGCCAAAAACCAGCCTAAAGCCATCATTCAGTGGTGATAATCAGCAACAGATAAGCTACATTAAACAGGATTGTGAACAAATAAACTCTGAGAGTAAATAAACCAACATTGTGATCAACAACAATGAAACATATAATATTTATAACCAATTATAAACTAATTTGCTAACACGCTCTAGTCAAATCTGCTGTTGCCTCAAACCTTTTGTGCCCCATACTGAGTGACAAAAAAAGACAGTTGTGGTTTCATCTGGCAGGCAGCTCAGCATCATGCAGCCATTCACCCACTCTCCCTCCCCAGAGGGATGGGGGGAGAGAATTGGAAAAAAAGAAGTAGAACTTGAGAGTTCAGATTATGACAGCAGTTACAGGAAAAGAAACAGGAGGAGAAATGAAAAGAATACACAAAACTAGTGATACACAGTGCAATTGCTCTCCACTAGCTGATCAATGTCCAGCTGAATCCTGAACAGCCTCCAACCCCCTCCTGCCAACTCCTATGATCTGGGATGTCCCTTTGGCCACCTTTGGACAACTGTCCTGGCTGTGTCCCATCACAACTTCTTCTACACCACCAACACTCTGGCAGACAGCACAAGAAACTGGGAAGTTCTTGACATAACACAACTACTACTCAGCAACAGCTAAAACACTGATGTGCTATCAACATTATTCTCATCCTAAATCCACAGCACTGTATCAGCTACAGAGACTCCATCCTGGCCACAACCAGGACACTTATTCAACCTTCCCTGTTTGTTTCGGAAAAGCCAGAATCCTCCAACACTTTCTTGAGGTATCCTGTTGTTTGTTTTAGGGGAGGTTTTTGGTTTTTTGTTGTGTCTTTTTTTGTTTGTGCATTTTATGCCATTGTAACTACATTTCACCTGAAATCACTGATTTTTAGGAACAACCTGACCTCAATTCTGGCTTGATTTCCAGTAATTGAGCAAAACTTCAAAAATCTCAAAGTATAGACTAGGTTCTTACATTACTCTGCTCTTCATTTATTTATTTGTGGCTAAACTCTTCCTGTATGCTTTTCTACTACATTATTTAGCACATTATCTTATTTTATTTATTTCTGCTAACCCAACTGTGAGACAATGATTCCTTCTGTTTCATGGAACTTGTCCTACAAGTAATGAAAGATAATACACTATTATGGTATTATTAACAGGTTAAAAGAACATGATCTAAGTTACAAGTTTTTGATTCTTATTTCCCCTATGACCTGATACTTTTTATAAAAATGCTATACAGATATTTAGTTCTGTGTTGCTACAGGTTTCTCTCTCCTGAACTTAGACAGCTATAGCTTCATAGTAATCAATATTAATATGACAGTAAATGTACTGCAGCAAAAACAAACGTTCTGGAAGAATCAAAAAACGCACACTGAAGCAAAAAGTATACGGTCTCTGCTCAATGTCAACAGAACAGGGAAACAAAAGTAGAGGCTAGAGGAACAGCTAGAAACACCCAGAATGTGCAGATGATAGTACAGAAATCTGTTGCTTAAAAAAACCTGCAAACGCATAGATGTGGAGCTGAAATTCTCTATCACTGTCACATAACCTTTCCTCAACTGCAGTCTCCACTGTTACCTGGTAGTAAGTGCTCACCTGGACAGTAAGCAAGTGGTTGAAGTTTAACAAGAGCAAGTGCTATATTCTGTGCCTGGGATAGAGCATCAGGGAACTAAAAACATTATAAATATCTTCCATTCCTAGTCTCCCTCCAGATTTCTTCTCTAAGTGATGAAAATAGTACCAGTAAGCTTTTCTAGTTAATTTCTATTAGCAGTTTGTCCTTACAGGTATTGGTTCAAAATGAAAAACACCATCAAATGTGATTATCTTCACATTCAGAAATAAGTAGGTTCTTAAAAACTGTATCTATAAAACAAATGAAGAAATTTCTGAATGAATTATGCTGCATCTTTCTTTCAAATAATAATTACTGACTTGATAGTTAAGAACTAATGTCTCACACCCAATTGTTTACTTACGTATCTTATACCCTGAGAAGACAAATGCCATCTCCTTGCACCATGTGTCAATCAACCCAAAGACTTGCCAGCAAATGAAGCAGTCACCTTGCTGACAGACAGAAAGACACAATTCTACAGGCAAGGAATAAGCTAAAACAGAAAATATCTGAACTATCTGATATTTTTGCCCTGCCTGTAATAAATATCTATCATAAAACTTTATCAGACAGAATAAAGACAGAGTGCATTTGTGCTATTTTACCACAGAACTACCAAGTCCAAATTCAAGCAAAATGAATACTAGAAAAACACATCCTTCCTTACTAGAGACACTTCAGTCAAGCTGCTTTAAACTATCACATAGTGCTTTTTGTTGTTGTTTTTGTTTTTTTAAGAGGTTGCTTCCAGCTACCAACTTGGCAGCCTGTCATAGTGGTTAGTTTAACATACAGCCTTACTTCTAGGAAAAAGAGAATAATTTTTTGTATGCCTAAATTAGAAGTTTAATTCCAGATTTTCATTAGAAACACAAACCTCACATAATAGAAGATAAGCCAAAGCATCAATAAATGAAAATAAAACCAGCTTTGAGGTTGTTTGTAACTGTATGTACCTGATCTGACCACAAATGATCACCTGAGGTATATATGACACTTGATCTCTTATATAGCTATGGCAATAGTTGGTAATATAAACATTACTTTATACTTTATTATCATTACTGATATCTCTTTGTAAAAATTATTCAGTCACTAAAATTCCCTACTGCAAATGAAAAGTCAGCAACTTTCCAATAGAAATTATAAGACAAAATGCGTAGCAGTGATTAGCAATGACCCCACAAAACTGAAACAGAACATTTCCAAAGTGTAGAGACAGTATAAGTAATATGGCATAAATCAAGAGCCTTTGTTATAAAGTGTGGAAATACTTAGTAGTCTTATATTTTTATAAGATGCTTTCTGAAATACTTGATGGGGATGGAGGCATCCATGAAAAAAAAAATGTGGTTCTGTTTTAAATGAAGACTGTGAAAACGGAATTATGATATTTCAGATTTACATCATTGTGAAGTCTTCTAGACCAGAGGTGGCCTCAATTTACAAATTAAATACTTTTTTCTCTAAGTGCCAGTTCTACAAATTCAAGTAGTAATGTGATTCAAATTCAAGTGTAATAGTGAAAATGACTCTTTCCTTCTGAATTATTGTCTTTAAAAATTATAATTTGGAACGTCAGATTAGTCCTGAACAAAGTCTCCATAATGTGGTTGTATGAAGTTGATTTTTCCTTAATTCAGCCTTCCTTTTCATCTTAATTTCTTCTACTCTGCATCTTCCCACTTTATCACTAGCTGAGTTTTTCCTCATTTTAGATGGTGGACTGCAGCTTCTTACCACCATTTTTCAAAAATAAATTCCTACTGAACTCTCTCAATATGATGACAGTAATCAAGATAAACTTTGCCTTTTGTACCCATTGCAGGTTGAACAAGCCTTCACTCATGCATTTGTGCATATATATAAAACCGAATTCCAAGGAGAAAGACAAGCCAGAATAATTTTTTAACCTTTCAGTATATTTAGACAGACTACGAAAAAAAGTTTGTTTGCTTGCTTAGGGATAGAAGGGGGGATTGGGTGAGATACACAAGCTATTAAACCTTACCTTGCCAGCCTGGTTTGCACACTGGTTTGACATTAACTTGCACTAAGACATCTTCTCTTGCATGCTTTTGTCCACAGTCAAAAGCTGTCACCATTATTTCATACTGATGCTGTTTATCATAGTTTAGCTTCTCAGTGTTTCTGATGTTACCTATAGATTCAATAAGAGATAACATTCAGGAATTTATGACTAAGCATATGTGGATTATCACATTCAAGGTAGAGTTAATCAAATCCTAAGCTCTTTGGAACACACAGGACATCCACAGGCAGGACAGTTACAAAGAGTGGGCAGTACTTTATTTTTTTACTGGATGAAGGGAAATTATTGGACAACTTACAATCGTCTTTACTAACGTATGGACACACGTGGGCACATCTGTATTAGCAAACACCTGCTCAATATTTTCTGAAGTAAGACTAAGACTATTTAAAGATTAATATTCAAATGCAAAGTATAAGTAGATGCAACCTTATTTTCCACATCCTCCCAGAACACACTGCCTTAATGTGGCAGCTGCACCCTGCACTTGAGATCTAACGCTGAATGCAACTCCAGCCTAAGTATTTTTTCCCCGTAAAGTTACTATCCTTTAAGTGAGAGATATTTAACACCTTTCCCTGGATTTTAAAAGTAAGGTGCAGAATCACCTTCTACATCAGAAAGCTCAGCAGTATTTGACATGACAGAATTGAGCTACCACATGGAAAATAAAACTCAGCAATAACAGAAATTACCTGCTGAACCTGACACACATATAAAGGTGACAAATCACCTGTTTCAAGATCAAAGAAATAACTCACAAAGAAATGTCTTTCTCAGAGTACTTCCTGCAAGACCAGGAGATTACTAGGTAACTGTATGAACATATAATTAAAGAGTTTCGCATTTTAATTCTGCCCATTTCCACTGAAATGCCCTCATTGCTTAAAACAAAATTTGAGACTGTATAGTGTATTAAACATGTCTGCACTTCGTTGTTATACCATCTATTTGAATGAGAATGCTTGCTCTGGATCAACACTCCACCTAAATGTATACATGTACAGATCTGCAAAATTGGGCCAGATTTGAAATGAAGAGCACCCAAATCCTCAATTTCAAATATTGTGGTCTGATTTCCATAAGTGCCCATCCAAGTACATCACTGACACTGCTTTTGTTTTCTTTTAAATGAATTTACAGACTAGAGAGAGAGCAGACAAATGAACCTTCCTAAGGCAGCCTTAAACTAAGCATCCAATAGTAAAAACTTCTAATAAGCGTCTCTCTGATGCACATTCATCATCTTCTCAGAGCCTAAAACTTTTCAGACTGCTATTATAAAGCCTTTTAAAAGTTTTTCAGGTCAGGATGGAAGAATACTTTTCTTACAATTATCAGTGACTTACAATTCAAAATTTGTAGTTTAAAACTGCCCTTACTTCTGCAGTCATAAATTAGGCTCAATCCATATTTTGTGATGATTCTCAGCCTTTCCTTCTCCCTTACTGAGCTGGGTACAGAGGAGGGAACGAGTCCTCTCACCATTTTCTGTACCTCAAATGGAGAAGGAAGACAAGCTAGAGGACAGAATGGAAATGGTTCTATGTACTACATATTCCTCCATTCTCTTTCACAGGCATCTTGCTAGGCATTCTTACATCTGCCATTCCTCATCACAAACACAACTGCACGAATGATATCAACTTCATTATTTTTGAGTGAGTAATTAACAAAACAACAGAACTCGAATCTACCCATTTTACTCTCTTGAGTTTCTTGATCAATACCTGTCTAAGAAACTGCCAATTGTGTACACAATTATTCTTTTAGTACGTGCTAACTTGTTCTTTATGCATTATACTCTTACAGAAATTTTTAAGCTACCCTATTTGCTTCTCCTTGGTATTATTTTAGTCCTTCATCATCAGAGATAATTCAAGAAATCAAAACTGGCTAAATCAAAAGCTAGATTTTGCTTGGCACGTTAACTGTCTGCCAAGATTGTAAAACATACACCATATTGACATTTCATTAAATCCCTCTTCCAAGATTTGAATTTCATTATTGCCTTTTAAGATTTGGACTACAAAAATACTGACGATTAGTTGTTATGGAAGGTCATTTGGATGCCCAGTAGATATTACTGCAATTCATTGATACCCTAAATATGCAATTTTTCTGTTATCTCTGATGCTTTATACTACTTTGTTATTTTACAATTTATGATTAAAAGTAGACGCAGATGGTAAGCACTACAAAGACTAAGCACTATAGCACTGTAAACAAATACTAATGTTTTAGCGATAGACTGAGAATTTCTATTTGCATCTCATCCATGAACAGAAAGGTAATCAATAAAAAAGGAAATTTTGAAGGGAAACGTAAGTTCCCTTCTCGACACAATACACAGTTAATTTTCTTCAAGTTTTCTAAACATTGGCCTTTTTTTCTGGAAATACCAAGAGTTATAACAGATTTAAAAACAAAACAGAAAGCTGATAAGTGACAACAGAAATATGAATATTCTTGTGTGAGGACTTACAAATTTGCACTCCTGTTTCTTCAGGGTCAGTTTTGGGAATAGTTTGATACAGACTTCCCTGTTTTATGGGTGTCTTTCATCCTATTCTAAAGATCTTATTCACAAGAACAGGAGAAAGACTTAACTACTCTACTACTGCAATTCCCATTTGAATTTCATGCTTACTTCCTGTATATGCAGGGAGTATGAACTTTAATCTCCTAACCCTTGCATGACACCAGAGCTAGCAATGCTGCACAAATGGCTTCAACATCTCAATATCCTTGGCAGAAAAGAGCCACCAGAAGCCGTATTTGACAGTATGTCAACAGGAGTAGTATGACTTCTTTTTCAGAAACATGAGCTTTTCCAAGCCAATGGAAACTAGACTGAGCTGCACGTTCAAGTCTCTTAAAATATATTTTATACCTTTTTTCCTAGTTCTTTGTACAGCAAAGCACAGATTTTTCCTTTGCCACTATATGGTTGCATTTAAGTGTATTTTTCAGATAAGAGTTCATTACCTTCCAAATTAGGCTCCATATACAAAAGATGAATCTTAGGAATACTAGACTTTCTTCACATGACATAATTTAGATCAGAAAGAAATTAAAAGCACTGAGTCAAAGATGCCAAATGTAAATTAGGAAGCTTTATTTTACTTTTCTTTAGGTGCATGACCTACTAAGGTCTATACTGAATGCTGCTTCCCGTGCCAGTGTTTACCAGTTTGTACCTCACACAATTTGGTGATGTGAAGTACACTGTGCATGGCTGCAGTCTGGAGGGTTCTCTCTTCCTTTCTGTAAATGTTTTGCAATGTGTAATATAATTTTTCAATACAACAAAATGTTCCCTGGACTGATACAGATACAAGAAATAAATTTTGCCTAAAAAGGAAATGATCTACCAAAAGGTAAAAGCTGATTACAAAGCATGTTCATCTATCTCAAAGTCTGTTAATGGTATTTTCACAGGTTTGTGGTCAAAAGAAACATCTCAACATATGAACCGATAATTGCATTTTATTACAAACCCTTTACTTTTGGAGGATTTCTGGTAATTGAAATACCACACCCGTATTTCTGAAAAGTGGGAAAAAAAGATCACTTCCACAAGACACAATGACATGACTTTCACTAGAATGGAGACCCTAGATTGGTTTTTCACAATGGGCAAAAACTATAAACAAAATCCTAATTAGCACAGCATTAACAGACAGTCCCAAGCACCTCATACATCTATTTTAATATATCCCACAGGTAACAAAAATGGGAACAATGCCAAAGAATTTGCAGCAGAGAAAGCTTATATCTGCTGGCAAAGAGAGACATTCTGAGCAGTGAAATGCGTTGGAACAAAGCAACATATTTCTCTCACAAAATAAAAGTGCAACCATCTATTCTCTGTCTCTAATCCCAGTGGGCTTAAGCAATCACCATTATCTTAAAAAATTGCAAATTAGACTGCAATTACTGTTGATTGCGGCAGCAGTGTTCTTCTAGTGAACAAATAGATCAAAGAGTTATTAACTGAATTCATGACCAAGAAACTGCAGGTATTATAACCTAACACCAATTATTCTTGGTCTTTAAAGTCATTTTTAACCCAACTTCTTGTTGTCTTTGCTGGAAAGCAGGTCACAAGCACATGGGGACAAATATGTAACCAAAGACACTTGACATTTAATGTGCTTTTGATCATGCCTCTGACATAAAAGAAGCCGTGATTGCTCAAGAGCCAGCTGCACTGTGAGATAAGACCTGAAAAGGCATAAGCAATTGGAATGTCTGCTCCATACAATGCTCATTTTTGTCTATTATTTAACCATTGTAAGTCACAAGCCTGTTCACCTAACCAACTCAACATTTACCTAAACACAGACATACTCATGATTACATCTTATATACAGTATATAGAATGCTTGCCTCCAAATGACGGTATCAGAACAAGTGGTCTTTTTCCACCAACACCATTTACACTGCACTGATGCTAACAGGTTATTATCTTTTGATGCTCAGCTGTACATTATGCAAGAGCTGTGCAAATAAAGATGGATCATTTTTGAACTAGAGAAAGATGTTTTTTTTTCTTTTTTCTCTTTCCGTAATAAAACATTCCAATATGAAAACAACTGCTTAGAGAAAATGTAGCTCCATGCATGCTTTCGATCTCCAAACTGGCAAAAAATCAGATAAATCAGATAAATCAGAACACTGCTGGATATACAAACAGGGTGTTTGTTTGGGGAAACATGTTCTGTAAGCACAGGAAATTATATTTTCTAATTTTTCACAAGGGTGCACCTGCGAATACTGATAACTAAGAACAGTAACATGAAGGATATTTCCTTCAGTACCGCAGTTTGGTGCACATGTAGAAGAACTTCCCATGGGTCCATCATGGGTCTCCACCGCAGGTACAGAGATAACAGCACTCCTATTTACAAAACGATGCCAATATGGCACTGCTGAAGCACTTGAAATACAGAATTAAGATTTTCTATTGTCTAAAGCAAGCAAAGAATAGGGAGGGAGAATCCTTAGCTCATTTTAAATGCAGCCCAGCCACTTCTCCCAAACTCAGTGACAAAGTCTGTGCTTTTCTCTGGTAAGAACTTGAGTAGAAGCAGCAAGAAGCTGACAGATAGAGAAGCCAATATTAGAAAGTGCACCATATGGAAAACTTATTAGGGTTCATTATTTTTTGAGATATCCATTTAGTATTACACTAGAAAACCAAGTAAAATATGAACCCTTGAAAAATGTTACTACTTTTCCAAAGCATATTTTATTCTGTACTGCAGAATAGGAGACCAACTTCAGGAAGCACCACAAATGATTAGAACTGTGAACTACTAAACACAGTCAGTATAGTCCATTCTGCATTTAGACCCTGTTCAAAAGAGTTCAGAAGACTGGGACTAGCTATAAACCTGCAAATAAATTAAGTAGGGCTACATGCTGCATTACAAAATACAATCTCCTGCACAGGAAACTAGATTTTAGACAACTTGGAGAACAGACTGACCGTCAGAGAAAGGTACTGCACATCTATAAAACCATTTTTTCATATCCATGATGCAAATTATTGTGGCACTTTCTGACCACATCAAACGTAAATAAGATGCAATTTTCCAACATTACAGTTTCTTCATTCTCAGAGATGAGAACAGTATTAATTTCTTGAGTTAAAACTCAAAGGGCTGGATTATCAGCTGGTATTAATTGTTAATTATATACTTTCTACAAAAAATAACACTATCTGTCCCAGAAATTAAGGTCAGATCCTTCTCCATACTCACCATTTCTATCGATAGCAAAAGGAACGTCTGTTGTGACAATTTCATAATTGCAGATCTGGCTGTACTGCGGGGAACAGTCCTCATCTATGGCTTCGACCTGCAGTATGCTGTCATAGATCTTTCCCTCTGTCACGGTGGCCTTATACATACTCTCCTTGAAAGCTGGTGAAAACTCATTAACATCCTTTACTTGGATATGGACAACTGCCCTAAAACAGGTAAGAAAAGAAATCAAAGAGAAAATAGTTTAGAATGACTTCAAGTAAGATCATATTATTAGCAGTTTGCTTTCTTAATGTAAAAGGACTGACAAAAAAATATATAGAAGAACATGTCAACATTTGCTAAAATGAGATATTACTGAATTTCTGTATTTAATTTACCCAACTTAATACCTTAAGTTTCTGTAGGAAAAAGCACTGTGCCAAAGGTGTCAGGGAGAGGAACTCAAAGGGCTCCCTGCTAAAACTGTATTGCCTTTTAACGTGGAGCCCAGCAGAAAGTTGGTGACATTATACCAGTGCAAAATGGGTCAGTAAATGAAAAAAAAAAAAAAAAAAGACAAAAAAAAAGCTTATTAAATACTTATTAAATAAAAATTGTCAATTTATGGCACTCTTCAATATGAAGTATTTCACCCTCTGCTGATTATATGATTATAACTACCTAATTACTGAACTAGCTACAATATTTGTAACTTGCCTTATAAAGAGAAGAGTTGTGTCAATATTTAAAAGTGAAATGCCTGGTAGCAGAGAAAAATGATGCAACACAAGCTTTGTACTGATGTCGGTCTGAGATTCCCCATTAAATCCCAAGACACTAATTTACTTGCAAATTTAAGAACTGGATCCTTGCTGTTGGCACTTCTTATCAAGATAATGACTGCATCACGTTTTCAATATACACATTATGGTAAGCCTCTGAGGGTCAAAAATAAGAGATGTTCTGTACTTAACGTGCTACTCTCAGAGTACTCAATTGAAACAACTTTGTATCTGGTTGGATAAGCTGGGCAACAAGCAGGCAGAAAAGGGATGTTCCAGATGAATGGCAGAACCAGGAGTAAGTGTTTGGACTCCAAAAGCCTAGCTTAGCGTGTTTACTATACAAACGAAAGAAAGCATGGCAAAGCCTGGTCTGAGTGAGCCAGATTTAATGGCCATGATTAGACCAAATTTTCCAAGTCTAACACTCAGTAGCTTGTTACTAATGTGAGTGAAAAATGCTATAAAAAAATAATAGTATTGAGGAAAAATTGTTTCTGTAACTTGATGATTATTTGATATTGCAGACTTTTTTCTAAATGTACATTCTTTTTAAACATCCTAAAAGAGTTTGGAATGCATTACAGAGCTAATGAAAATTTTAATTGTCTGGATGAATAAAAGGAAGACCTATTAATCATTTAAGTGGTTCCTAGCAAAATGAACTGTTGTACAGTCTATATCTGAGTTAATGACAAATGGTCTGGAGCTTGGTTTCATGACTTGCAGGGGGAAAAGGGTACTGCCTTTATTTAAAAGTTATGCAGGAAACTGGCTCTACAGTAAAAAGTACCACCTATTTACCTTGAATACCCCTTTACAACTAGAGGATGTGAATTCCTCTGGGACTTACTGTCCAAAAGCTGAGGTCAGAAATCCACTGTGCAAAGGCAACACTGCAATAGCTTATATATATGCACATACTAAAAAATGGTCAATTTCCCTTTTCTTACCATTTCAAATGAGATGAATTGAGAGAATACTTACTTAGAATTTCTAAGTACCAATTAAAAGCTAGGTTCTATTTCCTGGATGATCTGTTTAGTCAATGTATTTAATATAAAAGCAAGAATGGAAAAGTTAACCAAAACTGAGATACACTTCTCCACTTAAACTGTGGTTCTGTTAAAAGCTTCAGCTGGAACCAGTGCAGAGTAAGTCAAACTGTCAGAGACAAAAAAAAGGAAAAAATCTCTAAAAAGAAACAGGAATTAAAAATGGACAAACCATTGCGACAACTAATCGTCTTAGTTTAACTGCTTTGTACACGACTACAGTATAAACATACATATGATATCCTGGTCACCAAATTAGAGAAAAAGGGATTTGATGGATGAACCACTCGCTGGATAAGGAATTGGCTTTCTGGCTGCACTCAAAAGGTTGTGGTCAACTGCTTAATGTCCAAGGGGAGACTGATGACAAGTGGTAATCCTCAGGGATCAGCATTGGGACTGGTTTTATTTAACATCTTTGTATGCTACATGGACAGTGGGATCGAGTACACCATCAGCAACTTTGCAGGTAACACAAAGCTGAGTGGCACAGTTGACATGCTAGAGGGAAGGGATGCTATCCAGAGAGACCTGGACAGACTTGAGAGTTGGGCCTGTGACAATCTCATCAAATTCAACAAGTTCAAGTGCAAAGTTCTGCACTTGGGTTGGGGCAATCCCAAGCACAGACACAGGCTGGGTAGAGAATGGCTTGAGAGCAGCCCAGACGAGAAGGATTTGGGAGCGTTGGTTGACGAAAGGTTCAACATGAGCCAGCACTGCGCGCTTGCAGCCCCGAAGGCCAACCATATCGTGGCTTGCATCAAGAGAAGCGTGACCAGCAGGTCAAAGGAGGTGATTCTGCCTGTCTACCCTGCTCTTGCGAGACCCCACCTGGAGTACTGTGTCCAGTTCTGGAACCCCCAACACAAGAAGGACACTGTGCTGTTGGAGTAGATGCAGAGGAGGGCCATGAAGGTGATCAGAGGGCTGGAGCACCACCCCTGTGAGAACAGACTAAGAGACCTGGAGCCCTTTAGTCTGGAAAAGAGAAGGCTCCAGGGGGACCTTATAGCAGCCTTCCAGTACCTGAAGGGCCTACAGGAAAGCTGGGGAGGAACTTTTTGTAAGGGCAGGTAGTGACAGTACAAGGGAACATGGTTTTAAACTGAATGAGGGTAGACTTAGACTAGATATTAGGAAGAAATTCTTTACTGTGAAGGTGGTGACGCACAGGAACAGGTTGCCCAGCAAGGTTGCGAATGCCCCCTCCCTGGTAGCATTCAAGGCCAGGCTAGATGTGGCTTTGAGCATCGTGGTCTAGAGGGAGGAATACTTGCCTACAGCGAGGATTTGGAATTAGATGATCTTAAAAGGTTCCATCCCAAACCATTATATGATTCTATAAACAGGATCCCTTCAATCTGATTTGTACTGTAGAGTAAATGCACAACAAAGCAAATAAATGTCATGTTCACCTACTTGTGAGATTTCTTCCAGTTTACTCCACTTGGTCCTGATCCACAGTCATAGGCTTGAATGATGAATGTGTATTCTTTCTGCAGCTCACAATCAATTGGACTTTTGGCTCGAAGACGACCTTCTCCAGATGTCTTGTTAAGCACAACAGCTTCAAATGGCATTTCTTGTCCATGAATTTTAAAAGCACATATCTCACCTGTGAGGAATAAGATAAACGTAACACAAATATTAAAATACTGTAACGTAAGTATAATACAAAACAATCATAATCTAATACATCATAGTACCATTGGAGATGTTAGCACTGATCTGTATTTCACGTGCTTTTACAGATGGAGTAATATTGACTCAAATATAAGATTAACACGTATCTACAAGGGATGGTGGCCATGCGTTTGTGGAGAGTGATGGAGTGAGAACAGCTCTGGTCATGTCCTTTCTTCTTCTTCTGCCATTACAGAATGGTTTCTTAACACTCTAGAAACCATTCCTTAGATATGGCACCAGGTTAAATTTTGAGCTAAGTTAAGACGACAGTGCTTAGTTAAAAGAGAACAGCAGAAAGAAAAGAGAGAATATTTTAAAGGTGATCCTTTCTAACTGCTGTCACTGCTTCCTGCAGACACTTGAGCTAGCAGGTGGTAGCAGATGTTCAGATTCTTGCAGTTTAGCTACCAACAGTGAAAAAACTAATGATGCAGAACATAAGCACATTTCAAATACATCTTGCTTTATTTACACACATATATCATCTTTATCATCTTTGGAACAGAAGTAGTCAAAGGAACACAGGCAAGTGTCCCTTTTGGACACTGCAGTCACCCATGCACACTGACAAACCCACACATGAATGCCTTCTTGTCAGCAACTCACTGCCTCCCAACTGTCTCCTAACAGAAAAGATCCACAGCTTCTCTCAGAGGAATACCATGTAATAAAATAGATGGCAGAGCAAGGACTAAAAAATAGATTTGGACACAGAAGCTAAGAACGACAACAAAGAAGGCAATACAGATCTCAAAGGGGAAAAAAACAGTTTCCAGTGATTTTTCTTTATATGTATGTATGTATGACCCTTTATGCTGATGGCAAGGATATGCATCCTGTACTCATTTTTAGCCACCCCAGAACTCAACTTCAAAAATGGAACATTTATACAAAGACCAATGTGGCTCAAATATTTTTATGACACATTAAACACATGCTCTTTTATGAGCAAGTCAGTCTCAAGACATGCATTATGGATTCAGAGCTGTATCCCAGTCACATAATCTATTTCCATTTATTTCCAATTTACACTTGCAGCCTTTTGGCTATCTCCTTGCCAATCATATCTGAATCAACTGCCAAATTCTAAATTAACTCTGAATCTGTGACCTCCAATTCAAGTGTTAACTGACCTCGTTTTGTTCTAGAATATATAGTTTGTTTTTAGAGAAGATGCTAGCCAGTGACTTTATAGAAATGACAGAGTTCATAATTCCAATTATGAAGGGAATGAAAAAATGAGAAGGATTTAGGTGTTTGTATTTTTAGGGGGATAGGTGTGGAGGTAGAAATTGGGTATGCTTAGGGTATGAATAAAGGTTTTCCCTCAATTACTACTGTTCCCTTGATTACAATGGGAGCTGCAGCTGAGCTCAGCTACATACACTGACATTCAGGCAGATGAATCCCACTCTTAACACTTGCTATCAGTCCTGTGACTGCTTTTATAGCGTCTACATGCAGTTGTTTTACTAATCATGAGGCACAGAGAGAACACACTATTTACTTGGACATTTCCTCACTCCAGCCCCTCACTCAAATGGCACGAAAGGGCTGTGTGGTTTCAGGATGGATGAAGGACGTGCTATATTCCAGGCTCTCTTCAGTTTGTGCTCAATGAGCCTGGATACTGGGGCTGCTGAAGAAGGAAGGGATTTTGTCTTGAAAGTCAGTCTCTGGAAAAGACTAAGTCCTTGCATCACCATATAAGCAAGCCCACAGTGCTTATGATCTGTTCTATAGGAAACAAAACATAAGAGAAGGCAGAAGTGAAGCAGTTTGTTTAGCCTTGATCACAAGCACCAATCACTGATTTGTACCTCAACGTTGTTAACATCTCTCTCTCTCTGAAAACAAATACTATTCTAATTTCCATGTAACTTCAAACTGAAATGTTCATCTAAAATGATACTGTGCATTTCAGTTTTATAAGTGTGGGACATTTAATGGAAGAATACCACTTCTTGTATTCTGTAACAGTGGCCTCTCAATAAAAAATAACCTATCCTCACATGCACAATCTGTCAACAGAAATCCTAACTTCAGTGCTTTGCATTTATTATTTCATTGATCCACTGTTTAATTGTAAACAATGCAGCATTTGCAGACATCAAGCCTACATTCCTGAAGAACAGAAATAGCTCCAGACAGGAAAAAAGCAACCTCTGCCTTTGTCTGAATGTTTATCATTTTTTCCTTTCCAAACGTAGAGGACTGATGCAAAGCAATTATAGAAGCAGGACAAGTTTAATTAGTTCTCAACAAGTACTTTGGAAGGTTCCAAATCCTGCTTGTATGCTAGATACTCCAGCCTTATTTACAACTCTAATTTTGTCTTCTATGTTCACATTTGCCTAAGATAAAATAGTGACAGCTGCACAAATACAGGGAGATATTTGTAAATATAGTGCAAAAAAACCATGCAAATACTTCTGGATTTTGGTTACAGCAACCTATTATTTTCATATAAATAGCACATGCTTTTATGAACTAGGTAAGAATTTTCAGAGAAAGACTTCTGCTGTTTCTAAAGGAATAAGTTAATTCTAAAAATGTACAGTAATAGTAATGAGTAATATTTTTAATAGAATTGATCAGCTGTAACAAAATTAAATGATTACCTGTCTTCACCCTGTAAGACGCATGCACAGATATATGGAACTACTGTTAGACATCACAAATACTTTCTTTAAAATATAACAAATATTTTTAACTGCAAAATGGAGCCACGGGGCTTTATTTTTTAATCCCAGACAGGCTAACCCCAGACCCAGCTGATGCCTGTAAGAGCTGTGCCAAGCTTATGTTATTTACCAGGCTCATAGATACATGCAGTTAAGTATGTCATTCAACGAGGAGATGGATCTCTGTCTTATTCAAACTCTCAATATTTAAGTTGCAGAACAACCACCTTTGGGACACTGACACCATTCACTTTTTGTTTCCTTTGTAGAGGTGCTTTAGAGTGCTGAGATACCCCCACAATGCAGACAACGCAGAAAAATAGTAAGTTTTGTCCTTCATTTCATTGGAATGGGTGTGGGAATAGAAGTATATAGGGTTTATTGATCCAAATGGTGGTGGCAGTGAGCTGATGAAATAGGTACAAGATGATGAAACCACATAAAGGTAGACCAACATTCATGACAGTTTATAGCAGTTGAATCCAGAGTAAAAGGAAAATACCTCTTCTCCCAGTGCCAGGAGGTACATGCTCCTGGGTTTCTGCTGGGTTACCAAAGAATCTCCTCACTTTGCTAAGAGTTGCTTCATGTAAATACACTTTTTAACTAAATTCTGACATGATGTTTTCTCTTCATATCATTCAGATGATTATTAGTCATTAGCACCATACATTCTTGCATTATTTTGAGAAATCTAGTAGAAACTAACGGGTTACTAGCAAAGAAATATTAAGTTCTTTTGTAAGGATTATACTAGCCTGCAAATGCTATTGACAGTTTCTTGTTACAGAAATACAACCAACAAATCTTTCCATCATTTAGAAATTCCTAATGACAGTGTTTTCTATTCAGCTACATTTACACAAGTCTTAATCAACAAAATTGTATTACAAATCACATAAACAAACAAAACGCCCCTTGCTTTCTAAGAAACAAAAAGCAATGTTACAACTTTAATTGCAACACAAAATTACTGCCTTGAACTCAATTCCAAAAGTTTCTAAAAATTATGTATTTGCACTCTTACTTTGCCTTTCCCAGCAATGTTTGCTTTTATTTCACATTCTATTACATCAAGAATGCTGAAGAATGCAGAGATCTCTGACATTTGATCATTTTGATCAGTAATTAATAAAATGCAACAGTTGCATATGAATCAGTAATTACAAAAGTTTTGTTTAACCAGAGTTCCTGGCACATTCTTTCTAGCAGCCTTATGATTGCTTATGAAGTACTGAGTATGTGTGTGAATGTATACACACAGATTTGTTTCTCACGTTAACTCCAAAACCATTTGCTGATTTCAGCTAAACATTAAGAAGATTAGTTGCTTCCCACAGACACTGAGTAATTATTCAGCTGCACAATACCGAGAAACTACAGGAATAGTGAAAGGGTGTCAAACAGGTCACATCTCACTAGACGGCAACCATTCACATCAAGACCTTGTAAAAGCACAACAACAAGAAAAGCTGCAGTTCTATTTTTCACCTTTTTGATAGCAGTAAATCAAAAATGAGGCACAAACCTCAAAGAAACCAGGCTTCATTAGTTCACTGCCAGCAAAATGGCTCATTAAGATTCAGATCCTCTTCTGATATTAGTACTCTCTAGACTTTTACTACATTTCTATGCACATTTCCCTGAGATGCACCAATCAGCATAGCTGATCATATATTTAGAATTAAAGACGTAGTTTTATTGGTTTTATACATCCTGAATAGCACAAAATTCAAGAAAAACGTCGGGTGCTGCACCTGGGACAAAGCATTGCTGGACAAGGCACAGCTGTGGAGATGAACAACTGGAGAGCAGCTCAGCAGGGAGGAGCCCAGGCTGCTGGTGACAGCAGGCTTGGCACAAGCCAGCAAGTGTGTCTTTACAGCAGAGGGGCAAAACGCTTTGTGGGGTGCACTGAACACAGCGTAGCCACTCAAAAGAAGTGATTCTCATGCTATATTTAGTGCTGGTGCAGCCTGACCTTGAATACTGCGTGTAGTTCTGGGCTCCACAGTATAAAAAGGATGGTAAGGCACTCGGAAAGCACCCAGAGGAGAACCACAAAACTTATAACAGGGTTACAAGGCATGCCCTGTGACATCAATTTGATGTCTGTTTTCTCCAACATGCAGCATGGACCCAAGTACATGCACATGATGTTGTTTTTTTCAGTAAGTTTGCTTAGGGGGTTGGTTTTTACTTTTTATTTTTAATGCAACTGCCCAGGATAACAACTCTACACAAG